ATGTGATGATGTGATGTGATGTAATGTTAAGAGATTATGTAATGTGATGATGTGATGTTATGTAATGTTAAGTGATTATGTGATGTGATGATGTGATGTGATGTAATGTTAAGTGATTATGTGATGTGATTATGTGATGTGATGATGTGATGTGATGTAATGTTAAGTGATTATGTGATGTGATGATGTGAGCACATGGGCAGGTCCTTCCCGAGCATCTGCAGCTCTGACAGCAGGTAATAGTGTCTCTCTTGTTGTCTGGCGGCATCAGACTGATCTTCACGCACACGGCCATCCCACATTCAGCTTGTACACCAAGAAGAGCACATAATAAAGCAAATAATACCCCTTTAAAATCTGAGTGAATAAGTATGAGTGGATGAATTAAAAATTGTTTTTGTTGATTGAAATAAAGTTGAAATAAAATAAAATAAAATATTAGATGAAGAACTAAGACCGAAATGAGAAATGTTGCCTTGGCAACTAGCTAAAATAAAATGAACTACAAAAACGAAAATATAAAACTATAACCTAATTTAAAATATTAATAAATACTATAATAGCATTCAAATAATACTAAAATAACACTGGTCATGCTCACCTAAATTATGCATTAATGTGCCAACAGAAATCAGTATAATATGCTGATCTGCTGCTCGAGAAACATTTCTGATTATTATCAATGTTGAAAACAGTTGTGCTGCTTTTTTTTTTTTTACCTGTGATATGTTTTTCAGGATTCTTTGATGAATAAATTTAAAAAGAACAGCATTTATTTAAAATAGATATCTTTTATAACAGTATAAGTCTTTATTATCACTTTTTTTTATCAATTTAACGCATCCTTGCTGAACGAAAGCATTCATTGCTTTCAAAGAAAGAAAGAAAAATAATTACTGACCCCAACCTTTTTAACAGTGTATATTGTTAAAAAAGATTTATATTTTAAATAAATGCTGTTATTTTTAACTTAAAGAATCCTGGAAAAAAGTATCACAGGTTCCAAAAAAAATATTAAGCAGAAAATCTGTTTCCAATATTGATAATAAATCAGCATATTATACTGATTTCTGAAGATCATGTGACTCTGAAGACTGGAGGAATCATGCTGAAAATACAGCTGCGCATCACAGAAATAAAATATATTTTAGAGTATATTAAAATAGAAAACCATTATTTTGAATTGCAATAATATTTCACAATATTAATGTTTTTTTCTGTATTTCTGATCAAACTAATGCAGCCTTGATGACTTCTTTAAAAAAAAAAAAACATTAAAAATCGTACTGATCCCAAACTTTTGAACGGCAGTGTGTATATGTACAGTATATTGGGAATGTTATATACTGTAGTATAACGTTGTGATGTCGATGTTTCTGTGGTAACAGCAGCAGGACGCTGCACTGTGCGTCGCTCACCAGCAGATGTCGCTGTTCACTCAGTTTCTCATCAGCATCACTGAAGCCTCAGCATCATCATCATCATCTCATCATCACCCGAGAACAGAGACAGAGGCATCACGACTCACGCACTGTTGCAATGACAATAATGCATTTATCTCGCATAATGACTACAGAAAACATTACCGGCACCGATGCATAACTGATCGAGTGGATCGATGGGCGCGGGATCAATGGATTTACGCAGATCAAGCCGGTGTGAAACTCCAGAGCGGATCTGATCATAGCATCACCTGAACATCATGATACAGTTATTGCATTGAAGATATGCTTTATTTGACTTCTTTTTGGATCTTGCAGGCGACGTTATAATTGATTTCATGTCATGTCTTCAGTCCTCCTGATCTGAGCTTCAGGTTTTTGATCATGATGCTTCTCGGGGTTTGACCAGCTCTGATCCAGTCCTGCAGATCTTCAGTGGCATGAGCTCCTCTCATCATGGCCAGAAACACTTCTCTCTACTTTCGCATCGTCGAGGGACGCAACCTGCCTGCTAAAGACGTGTAAGTTCACGCAAAAGAGCCTGGCTCTCATGAGAGTTATGCTACTGATCACAAATGTGTCCTGCTCACAGAAATATGTTTGGCTTCGACGTTGAAAACGTTATTTCTGAATAGTCTCTGAACGTTTTTTTTTTTTACTATCTTTTATTTTTTTCCTTGGTCATACTAATGTTAATTTTGCAAACATTATGGGAACGTTACTTTTTAATGTCCCCTGTTATAAAAAAAATGGGAATGTTATCAGTGTTGGGGAAAGTTACTTTTAAAAGGAATGCGTTACAATGTTGCGCTACTCCCTAAAAAAAGTAACAAATTACGTTACTGCGTTACTTTTTATGGAACGTAATGCGTTGCGTTACCTTTGCGTTACTTTTTAAATCTGGGCTGGGCTTGATTGTTTTTAATATAAAAATATATATTTTTGGCAAATGTAAAAGCCCTTTTAAGCCATAAAGTGTGAAATGAATAAGCCTCAGAGTGAAGGAAATGTTAATTCATGTCTGTACAGACAGCGCAGCTCAAACAAACCTCTCAATTGAAGAAAGTTCAACACAATCAGCAATAAAATAAAAACCACAAATGTTATGTTTATTTAAAGCCATTTTTTTGCTTAGTATGGTTTAATTGGATCATTGAAGGTCAGCAGCAAAGACATTGGTTCATGAAATGGGATTAAATACATAAAGGATATTTGTGTTATTTAATATATTTAATTATTGCAGGTTTGCGTCACATTCCGAGTTTGCATTTCACGGTTTTATTCATTTTGAGGAATACTGGATCTGTTTTTGTGCGAGTGTGATGAGTAACATCACACACACACACACACAGACACACACACACACACACACACACACACACAACATAGCAACCGGAGAGCTGTCAGTCAATACATGAGAAAACAAAGTAACTGTTACTATTTGGAAAAGTAACTCAGATATTTCATTGTAAATTTAAAAGTAATGCATTACTTTACTTGCTACTTGAAAAAAGTAATCTGATTACATAACTTGCGCTACTTGTAATGCATTACCCCCAACACTGAGTGTTATTTGTATTAATATATTAATGTTACTGGAAAAACCATTTATACATAACTATTACAGAATGTTCTGATAATATTCCTATTGAGTTATGAAAATGTTATTTCTGAATGTTCTCTGAACGTTCAAAACATTAAAATGTAACGTTAAAAAAACATTAGACCAACACCCAACTAAAACCTCTCAGTAAAAACGTTCCATGAACATTGTATAAATAAGGTTTTTGTGCTTAAGTTATTAAAGACCAGACAAGTTTCTATTAAAGTTAAACCCGTTTGTACATAACTTTTAAAGAACTTTGCCAGAATGTTTTGCAAATCTTCCCATTAAGTTATGAAAAGGTTATTTGTGAATGTTCTCTGAACATTAAAATGTTTTAAACACGTTTTTTTTCTTTTCTTGGTTAAGCGAACATTCTGTTTTATAATTGTGAAAACATTACAACAACGTTACTTTTGAATGTCCAGTGAACATTGAGAACGTGAAACGATTAGTAAGTAGGCAAGTAACATTTCATAAACTAAAACATTCTGTGAGCATCGTATAAATAATGTTTTTGAGCTAACATTTCGAGAATGTTATTAAAAAACTTCAAACAAACGTTCTATTAAAGTTGCTGGAAACCCGCTCATAAATATGAGAGAACGTGCCAGAACGTTCTGAGAATGTTCTCAAGTGTTTGATCTAGTACTCTGTCGTCATTATGCTGTTAACATGAGGATGATGTGTGTTTTTGTCAAGTTCTGGGACCAGTGATCCGTACTGCATCATCAAAGTTGACAATGAGGTCGTGGCCAGGTGAGTGTCACATTCTCACCTGTGTGTGTGTGTGTGTGTGTGTGTGTGTGTGAGTGAGTGAG